ATCACTAATTGTTGAATCTAACACGTGAATAACTTGTTGTGAAAGGTGTGAAGTTGTGAATATATAACTCAAAACTAACGACAACGAACATGTAACAATCTCAATTTTCAAGTAAACAAATCTTCGGCCTTATTTTAAGGATCAATTTGCAGTTAGAGAAGAAACCAACTTGATATTTGTCATATTGATTGTACTGTTCTGCATCTTCAATTTTGAAGTAAACAAAAATTGGAGGCATTGGAAAACGGGAGCAGACAAAAACCAATGTGTTGGTGTGTTTCGGATTGCCATGCCCCAATTTGTAAAACCTGGATTCTCCACACTCAGATGCAGGGCATAAGCTGCTGTAACTGCTTTTTTTAGAGATTTTCTTGCAGGATTTCTGCAAAAATATCAGAGGATTTTTTTGTGTGAGAAATTAATTTAACTTGAATTTTTTGAGGAGTATTATTTTTCCATGAGTATCTATCTCTCTTTTTCAAGTTGCTGCAGCTATTTATGACTTTTGTGTTTCCTTTGTTGGAGGCATCAAGAGTGAGCATGCCCCCATTGGAAACCACCTTGCAGTTCGCAGATTAAAATTAGCGTTGGTGTAAAGACCTCTTGCATTTCGACACGTGGACAGTGTAAACCCTATAAACAAAAAGGTAAGCGGTAAAGGTAAACGGTAATGCTAGAAAAATCACATTTTGATCGTACTGTTTAAAGTTACCGTTAGACATCCAAGTGTTGTTGATCAGTCTTTGTCTCATGGTAAAACCTACTTTTGTAGTATGTATAATTAGCTTTATCCACAATAACATTGAGGATTAACCAAAAGGTGCCAATCTTGACTAATTTTGCATTCTATGTTCAACAAACATGATTGACCAGAATTAGACTTGATGCACTTACACGATCAATTCGAATAACATTTTCGTCACATTAACTATGACCACACAGAAAGAATTAGACTTGACGCCCTTGTTTGATTTCACTCGCACATATTTACAGGGTTTTGAATTTTTTTTTACCATTGTACCATAATGAATTTCCTTGATTGGATTCAAAAAAGAAGTGGGAAAGAGGCGGACCCAGTTAAATAGTAATGCTAGATCACATGTTGCTCGTACCACCTAGCGTCATCTTTAGACATTCCAGTGTTGTTGATCGGTGTTAGTCTCATGATGAGACCTACTTTAGCAGCATATATAATTTAGCTTTATCCACAATAATATTGTGGATTAACCAAAAGAAGCGAATCTTGATTGATTTTGTATTGACCAAAACTAGTCTTCACGTGCTTGCACGACCGATTTCAGTAACATTTTTGTCGCATTAACTGTAATCATGCGCACAAAAAACACACAAAAGCATAAAAGTCGTACGATTTGTTTGAATTCACTCTCACATATATAGGCTTTTGAATTTTTTTTTACCATCGTACCGTAACGAATTTCCTCGATCGGATTCCAAAAAGAAGAAAGAAGATGAGACATTTTGTGAAAAGAACAAAGAAAAAAGGGGTAGAGGTGATTGGAGCAAAGATAAAAGAACAAACAGCATGTTAGCGTTAATCTTTGTCACTAATCATCCTGGTTTACAGCTAAACCCTGGCTTGGAAAAATATTTTAAGGGGTATACTATCCACACATCTCATTTTACTTCTTACACACCCTTAATAATTTCTGTCCGTTGATCTTCTTCAATTCATTCGATTCGACGGCCGAAAATTAAAAAAGTGTGTGAGAAGTAAAATAAGATGTGTGTATATCACATCCTTATTTTAATTACTCGGGAAAGAGGCGGGACCCAGATGGAAGCGCGTGGTGTGGGACCGGAGATGGTAGAACACGAACGTGGGTGATGAGAGCAAAATTTGAAGCAAAGAAGCAAAAGCTTGAGACGGTTTTTATGGGCCATGACGCGGTCCAGTCCAAATGTCAATTTGTCAATTTTGGACTAACCCTCTCCCGAGTCACATGCAAACACATAAATCTTTGATCCATTGAACGTTGTTATACTTATAATAAAGTTTAAAGGACATAGATTAATTTTTTCTTTTGTTTGATGGCCATTGGACCATTGAATGTTGTTGTCAAGGAATATCATAATCCTTGACAAAAAATAGGAATATCATAATCCTTTTAGACTAGGTTTTTGTTTGTTTGAATGAAATGTTATGATTTGTAATTACATAATATATATTTATTTGGAGACAGGCTTTTTCATACACGTTTTTGTGTGATCTAGTTCGTAATGTAATTTCAGAATTCAACTGTTTATCTTTTATGTATTTCTTCAAATATCATCTCTATAAACAAATCACCCAAATCTGAAGTCATTTCACCATTGGATTAAATTTAGTATTTGTTGGAAAATATTAGTATTTTGGTTTATTTGAATGTTTGATTTTATGGGCTTAGCCTGTTAGAATTAGGTTTTGTTAGAGATTAGGGTTAGTTTATTATAAATGGGGTGCTTTGTTATTCATTAGAAAACAAGTTAGTCACAATGTAGTCTCTTAGTGTTTTGTAGCCGTTCCGGCATTCTCGTTTGTTTAATAATATTCCTATTATTTTGTTAGTCTTATTCGTTGCGCACTCTGATATTCAACTTGGTATCAGAGCAGGTTTGATCCTTCAGGATTTAATCTACTTTGGGTTGGTATCTGTTTGTTTGTTTCCGTTGTTATTCATGTTCAAATTGTTAGTTGGTATTGATTGTTTGCAAGAAGAAAAAAATTGTTCGTTCGTTTTTTGTCCTGTGACTCTACTGCTGCACCTTTGAACACCGCAACATGCAGGAGTATCCGCAAGTCTGTATTGCTGCAAAGGAAAAAAAAGGGAGTAAAAAAAAAAACGAAGAAACAAGAAAAAATTGGTTGCTTGTTTGAGGCCCATGCGGGCAAAAAAAAATAAATAAATAAATAAAATTTGGTTCGATTTTTTGTTTGTTTGTTCGGAAGTTGGCATCGACATTGGTATTAGCACCAGCATCGGCATTGACATTGGAATTTGGAGGCTTGCATCCACATCTGCTTGTTGGCAAACTCATGTCGTGTACCACCATGAGTTTGACAGGGGTGTTGGAAAATATTAGTATTTTGGTTTATTTGAATGTTTGGTTTTATGGGTTTAGCTCGTTAGAATTAGGTTTTGTTAGAGATTATGGTTAGTTTATTATAAATATGGTACTTTGTTATTCATTAGAAAACAAGTTAGTCACAATGTAGTCTCTTAGGGTTTTGTAACCGTTTCGACATTCTCATTTGTTTAATAATATTCCTATTATCTTGTTAGTCTTATTCGCTGCGCACTTTGATATTCAACCTGGTATCAGAGCAGGTTTGATCATTCAGGATTTAATCTGCTTCGGGTTGGTATCTGTTTGCTCGTTTCCGTTGTCGTTCATGTTCAGATTGTTAGTTGGTATTGATTGTTGGCAAGAAGAAAAAAATTGTTCGTTTGTTTTTTGTCCTGTGACTCTACTTCTGCACCTTTGAACACTGCAGCCTGCAGGAGTATCCGCAAGTCTGTATTGCTGCAAAGGAAAAAAAGGGGAGTAAAAAACCCGAAACATCAATTTTAGTAGATAAACATGTCATTAATGAATTCATGTATCAAACCCGAAACATCGAATGCGTCATGTGATTTGCTATGTTGGTAACCAGCTTTGCATGCTCACATGCGCCACTGGTTTTTGTGATTGTGATAGGTACCGTATAAATGTACGCGTCCAGCAAATTGCTTCCCCCCGCATCCCATGGGATTTTTGCACCACTACCATCTACTCTCGCTTCATTTCAAACTTTGGACAATACAATCTCATCACACCATTTCTCACTAGCATGCAAGATTGCAATCCATAAAAACTGAACTTTCTAACCCCAATACACCCACCACGTTGTCCATATAGTAAACGGGGGTTTATAATTACGGGAGATTCAAACCCGAGATCTTAGGAAAGGAGATATAAAAATGATTTTGAATTTTAAGTTAAATAATTGTAATTGCACGAGCTATAAATCACTGTACGAAGTTACATATAATTTAGACGTAATATGTATTACCATTATCCGGGCAATTAAAAAACCACAAGAATTAGTCAAAGCTCAAGCACATGTTGGTGTAGTTGTGTGTAAGTTGCGTATAAGGAGAATGGAAGCTCAACTACCATGCATGCATGTGGTTGAATAGAAACTTAATATTTTGTCGATTGATCAAATACAACACGAAAGTTAAATATGTTGTGACTAACAGTTTGATACAATCATCAGACTAAAATTGGATAAGTTAGATACATTTTTCAGTGCAATCATCACGAAGTATAATATATGTTTGGTGATACAATACTTTAAATCTATGAAATATTAACTTTGTTATAATTCTTGAATTAATAATATTACGTGTGAGTGCAATCGTCACACTACCAAAATTTTCTGTGATTATAGACGAACTGTCATACTCCAGTGTGAATGTGACCGTTTCTTCGGGTTTGGTTGTTGTAAAAACTGTTATTTTATTCAATTCCGAAGGTCAAGTAAATTTTTTTTTTTAGTATATCGATATTTTTACACTAAGGAGAGGGTGAGTTTGGTTAAGCCACATAATGGACAGCCTAATTTGATATCGAATTCGCCATCCACAAGATTCGAAACTAAAACTTCTCACTTTCAAGTAAAGAAAAACACTACCAGACTGTAGTACTGAGCAGCTAAATAGACAAATATTTCTCAAGTTCGATTTTTTCACAAAAATAAATAAATTTAAACACGCGTTGCCCAAAAAAATAGAAAAATTACAACGTAAAATGACTATAAGTGTGGCACACAACATTTTGTTAACTCGGACGAGTATTAAAAAAGAAAGAAAAGATAACTCATAAGAACCTTCCTGGGCATTGGGCTTGGAATACGTTGTAGATGAAGGAACGTATTACGTAGACCCCGTAGAAGCTGGGCCTTTGAACTGACATTCACCGACTTAACATTGGTTATGTTTTGGGCCTCAAATAATTGAATTCCATTTTTACCCTTTCCTTATATTAAAACTGTAAATCGCTCGTTTTTTACAGCCTTCGCGCTGTTAGGGTTTCGCTGTTTTGCTCTCTGCTGTAAACTTGGCGGCGCATCTCCAAGCTCGCAAAAATGGTGACTCACTCTCTCCTCTCTCTCTCTCTGTATATTGAATTACTGGAAGATGCTTGAGTTTCTGATGTGGGTTCTTTTGGTAAATACGCACAGCCGTCGCACAAGAGCTTCATGATCAAGAAGAAGCTGGCGAAGAAGATGAGGCAGAACAGGCCCATCCCTCACTGGATCCGTATGAGGACCGACAACACCATCAGGTCCATAAATACTTACTCTAATTATTGTTTAATTATTTCTTAATTCTCATTTGTTTTTTCTTAATCGGTTCCCAGATGCTTACGGTTTTTCGATTTGATTCGTGTTGTGGATCAGGTACAATGCGAAACGCAGGCACTGGCGCCGCACCAAGCTCGGATTCTGAGGTGCCTTGCTCCCAAATTCTCAATGGAAATTAAGCATATTTTGTAATTTAGATTTAGGGGTTTTAGTTTTTGATTCGGACATCAAAATGTTTCGTATTTTTTCCTGAGAATCCATCCAGTTAACCGTTGTAAGAAGTCATAAGAGTCTTTATATTTCACAAGTGCTTTTAACTTCCCCTTTATCTATCTCTGGAGAATGTTGTTTTCCATCTGCTTGGGTTCTATGAACTTGGTATATACCAAATGTTTGATTGGTAATTAGGATTGGATGGGATTGGATAACTATAATATTCAAAGGTCGTCATGTTGAAGGGATGTGAATTCATTTTTCATTTGCAGGGGATTAGAAAGGATATCATTCATTGAAGTTTCTAATTGCCTTGTAATCTTCTCCAAATGAAAATCGTTCTCCTCTTTCTTCAACATACCTCTAAATGTTACATTTGTGAATACAATCCAACAATTTGTTTGAAAGATAAATCCAAATTTTGCCCAGCCTAACATTTGTATGGAATCATCCCCAATGTATTTACTTGATTGAAGTGGGAATGGTTATTTAATTACTTAATTGTCCGTTTTCAACGTGTTTTAGTATAAACACATAAAAATCTCCAAGTATGTGAATTTCACTAGTTGAGATTTTTGTTGCGCTTCTACCACGTACAAAAATGATACGTGAATTTTACGTTATAATTCGTAATTCAATGTCTGAAACTATAAGTATGCTTGTATTACAATTACAACTCATTTTGTGTGCCTTGGTTTTCTTTTATTTTCGGATAACAATATTGGAGGTAGGAAATTTACTCCATACCACACTATGAGCTTCACACTCGCAGTTCATAATCCTATGTACCATTTAACGGAAATTTGAATGAAATATAACAGCAGACAGCAGAGGGTACTTGTTAGTTCAGGGGGTAAGTAAGCAAGAATAAATAGTTGAGCGGGTAGCCACTTAGTACTACGATGTAGTGATATTTCTCTTTACTTGTAAACGAAAGATTTTAGCTTCGATTTTCGCTAAAGACAAATTTGAACCATACCATCGCTAACCCATTGTAAAGTTTAGTCTACTCCTCCATCATTTTAATATATATAATTTCATTTGTTAAAAAAAAAAGTCGAGCGGGTAATTGACAGCTTTGTGATAATTAGTGGTTATTTGTCACTCTACTCAAATATGTAAGTTAACGACCAAAAAATCTCACGCTGATTCGCTCGCAAAACCCACTTAAAGCCAGCCAGTAGAAAAGAAGCAACGAAAGATCACCTCACTCTCAAACAGCCGACTCCTTCGTGTTCATCGCTCTCCTCCCTTTCTCGGTGAGTTTTCTCATCGTCGTCGTCGATTCCAACTACATCCGATTCGACTCCATTGTTTTAATCCATCTGAATCTGTTTAATTACTTCTTAATCATTATCTCTTTAGCTCTTGATTTACTCCTGGATCACGAAAATAATCCATCTATTTTATTCCTCATTTTTCTGGTGTTTGTTATCTTATCTCGATTTCTGAATTCAGATGGCTTCAGCGATGCTGTCCTTAGCTTCCGTCTCGCCGTCAGCTTCTCTGTCCACGCACGAGACTCCCATGGTACTACCGCTCTTTTCATCATTTCGTAATTAATTCCGATTTTCGTGAACGATTTCGATTTCTTCTTTGGTCTTACTGTTTGGTTGCCGAGAAAATGTTAATTTCCGGCTTGATGGAGCTGTGCGTGATTTTGTTCTCGGAATCTTGAAAATCGAAGCACTCATCGTGTTTAGTGTGTATTTGGAACAGGGGAAGTTGAAGCTTGGGAGTTCTTCTTGGAGCTTGAACAAGGAAAGAAACTGTCTGTTTACGAAGACGGAGGTACGTGCTGTGAGCTGCTATGGCTATTTTCGCTTGGATTTATCGACTTTTTGCTTCAACATTGATGCTAATGCGGTGTTGTTTGGTTTCTGTAGTCTTTTGGTAGGGTATCTATGGTAGCTGCGGTGAATGTCTCCAAATTCGAGGGTGTAACGATGGCCCCGCCGGATCCAATTCTCGGAGTTTCTGAAGCATTCAAATCTAGCACAAACGAATCAAAGCTCGACCTTGGAGTTGGGGCATATCGAACGGAAGAGCTTCAGCCATACGTGCTTGATGTTGTTAAGAAGGTCAGATCCCTATCCTCCACGAAATACAAAATCTTTCACTAATAAGGTTTGGCAGCATTCAACAAAGTGACTGCAGAGTTATTATTTGGAGCAGACAACCCAGTAATAAAGCAACAAAGAGTAAGCAAGAAATCGGAACTCGTAAAATAAATCATGCAGTTCTTCTCTTTGATCTTATCTCACAGTCTATTAATTGTTTATTTTCATTTTATGAAGCTAGCAACTGTTCAAGGTCTTTCAGGAACTAATTGACTAGCTACTTAGTACTACGATCTGGTGGTATTCTTCTTCATTTGGAAATGAGATGTCTTAGGTTCGAATCTCGTGGATGACGAATTCGATACCAAATTAGACTGCCAATTGTGTGGCTTAGCCGAACCAACAGAGTCCAAGGTACGATTCGGACTGGAAGCTTCCTCAAACATTTTTAAGAGAACTAATGAACATTTCCTTTAAAGACGTAGTGCGGTATAAATGCTGTCATATAACATCACTTGGGAACGAGATTTAGTTTAGAGGCTAAGCTTCCCATAATCAAGAGGAATGATGTGAAGAGATGCATCATCAGCAAAAGAAGCATCAATTGGAGCAAAAAAGAGTTCAGCACAGGAACCCAGAGCATTCTCAAACTACGCTCTCATAGTGCTGCTTCAAAAATTCTTTCACTCCAACATTATCCATTTTGTATGCATACAGTCTAATTAAACTGATCACGTAGGTTAAATATTATAAATCAGAAAGCTGGATGCTCTTTTTTTCTAACCAAAAGCAATCCAAAGTCCGAGCCACTTGCGTGATAGATCTCAAATTTACTGATTGTAAATTATAGTATACAGAAAGTTGAGAATAAGTAACCGGAATATTCTTTATATTACTAATTGATTTTATAGTTGAACTTCAACTTTCTTAATATTATTTCTTCACAGATTTGTCATTGACCGGTGTAGAAAAAAAATTGCCGGCACTGATTGAGATATATATGTTATGCATGAACAAGAGAACAATTGATTCCATTAGCAAAGATAAATATATATATATATATATATATATATATATGTATATATATTTTCCAATGATGATAAAGTAGGGATGCGCTATCCACACACCCTTTTTTACTTCTCACACACTCTTTGTTAATTTATATCGGTTAATCTTCTTCAATTCATCCGATCCGACGGCCGAAAACTAAAAAGGTGTGAGAGAAGTAAAAATAGGTGTGTGGATACCACATTCCATAAAGTAAATGAAAGTTTCCAATTGATATACATGTACAGTGACAGTACATTAATCACAAGTAGTGAACGAAGAGATGGGCGTGGAAGTCGTTTTGATAATTGAATATCTTCTCTTAATTATAACTAAATGGAGCTCACACATGCATAACCCGTTTGGATATGTTTTTAGAATGGCTGAAAGCGCTTTTAGAGAAAATCTTTTTGGGTTCCAAAAGCACTTAAAATGCTTTCTATAAGGAGCACAAGTTATGTGTTTTTTCCCGAAAGCACTTTAAGTGATTTTCTAAGATTTACTAGCATTTTTACTACGGATTGTTTTCAAAAATATTTTCACCAAAAACGATTTCAGTCATTTTAAAAACATATCTAAACAAACTTGATTTATGGAGTGATCTAAAATTTTTTTTTACAAAGTACTGCTTATTAATGAATACGATAGAGAAGACTAAATGTAAGGCCCAATCTTTTGTCCTACAAGAAACCTAATTCTTGACTCACAAGAAAAACCATAAGATAATAATAAGCAAGAAAACTCATTTTCAACGAGGTAACTGATGAGTATATTTTATATTATATATTTAATCCTATTCTTAGTATATTTTGGGAGAATTTTAATACTTTGAATTGTATTTTCAAAATAATACTTTCGACTTTTTCTAGAGCAAAACAGGACCAAATGGATGAATTTTGGAGTAATTCCAGTTGAAGGACGCTCGTGAGTCACTTAGCTTGATCGTATCAAAATATCAAATTTTTCCATCAAGCGGTTATTTTCTGGCTATAAAATAAAGGAGCGATGCACGGTGTTGAAATAGTGACGTTTTGGGCTTGAATTGCTTTTTTTGGAGCCCAAGATGACATCAGATAGATTCATGGCCTTCTGGAGATGTGTTTAGAACGTCCTGATCTTCAAAACAAGCTATCATGGGCCGTATTTGGAGGATATTTGAGGCTAAAACGTAATTGGACAAGTACTTAGCGGATTATCCTAGCTTAATTACGACTTTATTTTCTAAGATATTTTATTATTATTCTTAGTTTCCTAATTGGAACAAGAGACTACAATTTGAGGGTTTGTGCCGCTGTCTTTTAGGGGGATTTAAAAGGTTTAGTCGGCCCTAGTTTGAGGGGGGGACGTTTGCTTTTATGAAACTTTGAAGACATAGAGAATTGCTAGGGTTCTTAAAGTTTTTTTCTACTTTAAGGTGTTTTCAATCATTTTCTATATAATAATATTTTCTATGATTTCAATTATGAATATGCGTTGTCTTAATGCTTGATCACCATTAGGATATTTAGAAAGGTGGTTTGATGTAATTTTGGTTGGAAGGTTCCCTGAAATTGGCGCTGACTTCTTGTAATTAATAATTGTAATTTCACTTAAGATGAACACCACGTCTTAAGGGTTGCATGATTTTTCAAAGGGTTTTTATAAAACTTAATGAGTTTGTCATGTTCATATTTGATTCGAACGTTCAGACGGATTGAATGTTAGATATACATTCTATGTTGGAGGTTCCAAGTAGGATATATATTAGGAAAACCTAACCTTCAAAGTGGCATGTGTAGATCATAAGTAATTGGTAAAAATGCATACGATTGCTAGGTGATGGTGGAACCTAGTGCATTTATAAATTGGTATTTTAAAAACTGTTTCTTTTTCCTTCAACTTTAATATTGCAGATTGTTTTATTTTTATTAATTAAATTCGTTTTATTAAATTAGGTTATAAAAATCAATCATCTCAAATTTCTGTTTTACAATAATTAATTGGAATTTGGTTTGCTTTGAATTGTTTAATAATCCCAGTAGAGAACAACCTTGCAAGAACCATTTATACTACAATATTCTTGTCATTCTTGCAAGTATTATATGAGTTTTTTAACCCATTTACGTGTGTGGTAAATTCCTTATCAGTAACCAAATGATTCGAAATTGTTATATTAATTTAAGGGAAGAAAAATTTCAAACTCAATACGAATAGGAAGACAACCAACACAAAATTTCAAACTCAATACAAATAGGTAGACAACCAACACATTATCCACTATCTTCACATCACATCGCTTAGGTAGTTTGATCATCCCCACTTACTCTTTCAGCGTCTACTTCGCTGAAGATAAGTGATCGCCTGGAATCCCACTGAAACGGTTTCATACATATCCGGACAAGCCTCGTCCAGTAGGGCTTTCGCTTATTACTTAGCCTAATCCTTGACGTACTGTCAATCAATTCTTTGGTGTTATCACGTCGCAAAGTTGCTGGAGGCGTGGGCGGTGGGAGAGTAAATTGGTAACTCATGTTAAGCATGAGAATAACTGAACCCATGGTTGGCCTATCAGCTATATTTTCTTGCACACATAATAACCCTATGTGGATGCATCTCGTTATTAACTCGGTTCTTGAATCAGTCTCGATACTGTCATCTATTAGATGTAAAGCTCTCCCTTCTGTCCAGAGTTGCCAAGCCTGCAAGGGTATGTAATACATAATATTTCAATTTCTATAACTCTCATTCTCTCGATGCATCAAATTAAGGGTAATACATCGAAACTATATATATTATTACTTACATAGCTCAGAAGATCATCTCCGTCCCCTCCATGATTGAAATAAGTACTTTCTTGTCCAATCATTATCTCCAAAACCAACACTCCGAAACTGTAGATATCCGACTTTACAGAAAACTCTCCATCCTCTTCGCAATTTATTGCGAGATAGTCGCTATATATCAGCAGGAAAACGTTAAATTTTTACGAACCTGATGAAACTTCTTAAATTTTATTGACATAGCATAATAGCATTAATAAGATTAAGTTTATGAAAGTCCTATAGCTGGTCCTTGTACTTACTGCTGCAATGCTTGAAATCTTTCGGTACCGCCTTGTTTTTTATGAATCCCATGCAACTTTGACATGCCAACGTCTGAAATTTTGGGATTCATTTCTGCATCTATCAGAATGTTACTGGCCTTGAGATCCCCGTGAACAATCGGATGGGGAGAATCTTCATGAGGTATAAGAGCCCTCTTGCAATGCCTACTATAATATTGTAGCGCATATCCCAATCCGAATTTAGATGATTGACTGGATCTGCATATTTATGTAAAAGAGAGATTATGTAATGATATTTTATTTTGAATAAGGTTAGTGAGATCAAATTTTTAACCAAATTTACAAATCAAATTATGTGTCATCAATAGAAAATAAGCATGTTAATTAATACTTACATAATAATCCACATTATGTTCCCACAAATGTTTGTTGCTTTGCATATCACACATTAAATTTCCAGAGTTTTTCTTTCAAAAAAAAAAAAAAAAAAAAAATCCAAACATACCAAATGCGTAATCAAGACTTCTGTTAGGGGCAAACTCATAGACAAGAATCATTTCACTTCCTTCCCAGCAGAAACCTAGGAGACCAATCAAATTCCGATGGTAAAGCTTGGTCACTGTTAAGATCAAAATTTTAAATTCTGAATTGTCTAGTTCAGAATCTATTAAAAGCCTTTTCACAGCTATGTCTTTTCCATTGGACAGGCGACCCTGCACAATATGAAAACAATATATGAGTATTATATCGGGGAAGAGATTTCCTCTTTATCTCTTACACTAAGATCACACAATCAATTAATTTGAGCTTTTAAAATTTGATTTAACAGTTACAAGTAAAGATTTTTTTAAAGTTATAATAATTTTAACTGTTAAATCAAATTTCAAAAACTTAAATTAATTAATTGTGTGATTTTGATGGGAAATATCTGGAAAGGATCTCTTCCTTTATATCAGCAAGGAACCTGTTTCCAATTAATGCTGATGCATACTTAATGATATCGCACATACTTGTTGTCTCTTTTGATTAAGAAAGAAATTATGTTTGATTACCTGGTAAACAACGCCACAACTGCCCTGTCCAATTTCTTTTGCCTGGAAAAAGTTATTTGTGGCAACACTAACTGTGCTATAGTCGAATTGCCAGTATTCTGAAATACTTCCAGATATTTTCTTGGTTTTCCCAACTCTTGAGTAAATTCCTTTGACTGTCAGTATTATTAAAGAAACAACCATTGCCATAACAACTAGGGGAGCCAACGATACAGGCCTAGTTGGACTCCTCCTTGGATGATCATCTGAAAAATTAAAAGGAAGAGAAATGAGTCTTATCTATTGAAGCATAATGATCTTTGAATGAGACGTTCAATTATATATATATATATAAAAGAACGTTAGTTGAGATTTCATCATAAAATCAATTAACAATATAAGAAGTAATCTTATTAAAGTATCAGTCTTTAACCCTAGTATCAGTCTTTAACCCTAATACAAGATATTAAGCATTGGATTAAGGTTGCTATTGGAAGAAGGGTTAAATGTTGGAAGAATAATGCAAGCTTTTATCTAGCTTTGATGGATAACAGCTCAACTTGCATTCAGCTAGTCTTAGTGCTAGTATTAGCTGTTTGTTATTCCCTCATCATTGTAAAGCTTGTTAGTGGCTTAAGTTAGAGAGAGTGGAGGTCATCATTATACTTGCTTAGCTGCCATTGTCCCCTACCTTTTGTTCTCCACTCTCTTTCCCGTTTCTTCTTCTATTTATGTATGAACTTTGTAACTGTTTTATATAGGAAATATACATAAAAAATTCTACATGGTATCAGAGCAGTGATCCCTCTTGGACCTGCCTCTGTGTTCTTCCGAAATCCTACCAAATCCAAACCAGTTAAGCCATTATGGCAACACCAGCAGAGAAAATTTCAAAAAACAAAACCATGGATACCAACCCAATTCAACGTTTGAGCTCTGTGCTCCTAAACGAATTCAACTATCTGCCCTGATCACGAGCTATTTCTCTCGCTCTTGGAGGACGTGGAAAGCTCCCGTTCATTCAAAAGGATGACATCATGCCCGAAACAACTTCACCAGATTATGCAGCATGGGTGTCCCAAAATCAACTTATCATGTCTTGGCTGTTAAACTCTATGGAACCAAAGATGGCTGAGATTTTCAATTATTCAGTGTCATCTCACCACCTTTGGAATTCTATACGAGACATGTATGGGGATCTAAACAATGCTGCGCGAGTCTTTTAGCTAAAGAAAGACCTTACAGAATTACAACAGGGAAATCTCTCATTTGTTCAACATCTTGGCAACTTGAAGGCCAAATGGAATGAATTGGATCTCTACAGACCTCATACCACGGACACAACCATTCTTTTAAAGCGTGCTGAAGAAGACAAGGTGTTCCAGTTGCTTGCCAGCATTAGACCAGAGTATGAAGATCTTAAAAGTCATCTCTTGATGACACCTAAACTTCCCACTTTCCAAATGTTCTGCAATGTTATTCAATGCGAAGAAGTAAGAAAGAAGGTCATGAACGCAGACGTGGTCGTTGGAGAATCAGATCTTAGGCCATCAGAAGCGAGAGCCTTCACCTTCTCCAGACCATACAAGGGAAAACGACCAGACTTAAAGTGTTCTCACTGTGTGAAGATAGGTCGTTCTCTTCCTCTAGTCCCATTACTCTCATAAATGAATTTGCTAACTTCTTGCAACAAAAACAAGGAACAACAAATCATGAAAGTCCCTCAGCCATGCTCGGCAAGTTTGCTGGCTTCCTCGAACAATCAAGCTCAATGTCATAAAATGACGTGCCAGGTATTGTTGCAACTATTTCCACTGCATTGGATCTTAGTAGTAGTCGTGATTTTTGGATAGTCAACTCAGGAGCTTCTGATCACATGACTAACGATGCATCTTTACTAAATGATTTTCAAAACTTCTCCACTCCTTCTTTTGTCTCCGTAGCTAATGGCACCAAAGTTTGTATAGTAGGTAGAGGGAAACTCAAAATCTTCTCGAGTAAAAAAGAATCCCTTGTCATGCATGTCCCTTCTTTTCCTTTCAAACTGCTGTCAGTAGGAAGAATAACACAATTGCTCAATTGTCTTGCAATTTTTTCCACTCACTGTGTGATTTTCCAGGATCGAGTTTCGAAGGAAACGATTGGTAAAGGGTTCTTCCTCAATGGACTGTACTATGTCAACTTCTCTTCAAGTTTTCCAAAGAGTTTCTACGTAAACTCAAACACAGTAAACAAGGAGCACCTGTGGCACATGAGATTAGCTCACCCTTCTTCACATGTTATGTCTTTTCTTTTTCCTAGTTTCTGTAAAGTGATCCCAGATTGTGAAGTTTGTCACAAATCTAAGTTTACCAGGTTACCCTTTCCCCATTCTATCTCTAGAGCTACCAAAGCTTTTGAAATTGTCTATTCCGACATTTGGGGACCTGCAACCTTAGAGTCTTTTGATGGTTACAGATTCTATATATCTTTCATTGATGATTTCTATAGAACTACCTTTGTGTATTTACTTAAATTCAAGCACGAAGCTTTCCAGTGTTTCAAAAAATTTCATAACTTAGTTCAAAATCATTTTAACTCTAATATTGGCATTTTAAGGTCTGATAATGGGTCTGAGTACACTTCCAAAATCATGACAACTTACTTAAGTGAGCATGGAATTTTGCAACAAACAAGTTGTGTAGGAACGCCACAACAAAATGGCATTTCAGAAAGAAAGAACCGAGATTTGCTTGAGAAAACACGATCACTAATGTTACAAGCAAATCTTCCAAAGAAGTTTTGGTCTCAAGTTATACAAACCGCTGCATACATCATCAATCGCCTTCCTAGTAGAATCTTGAAGTTTAAATCTCCTTACCAAATTCTCAAGGGGAGAGAAATTGACATAAGTCATCTCCGTGTGTTTAGATGTGTATGCTATCTGCACATTCAAACTATTCACATAGATAAACTTGATCCAAGGGCTATCAAGTGTGCATTCGTAGGCTACTCAACTTCCCAAAAAGGATACAAATGCTATGATTCTAAGACCAGGAAGGTGTTTGTATCCAGGGATGTACGTTTTGATGAGACGCACTCCTTCTTTTAGAAGCATGATGATGAACCTCAGGGGGAGCTCTCATATGAAATGTTTCCCACTTCTCTCTTCCTTGATGATTCAAGGCTGTCAACACCGCACAATGAAGCTGTTGAGATAGAGCCAGCTCCTGAAAATATGGAAGCAGATGATGAAGAAATCCTTCACGAAAGGAGAGAGCCCCAACTTGAACAACCTCCTCCTCCACGAATGAATCATTCTCGAAACAGACAACCTCCATCCAGGCTTGATGATTTTGAAATCTACACGCCTAGATATCCTATTGGACAAATGGTTTACCATAGCAAGGTCTCCCCATCTCATGCGGCCTTTGTTACTGAGTTATCTCGAAACTCTGAGCCTCGATCCTTCGAAGAGGCAAACCAATCTCCTGTATGGAGGCGTGCCATGCTTGAAGAACTGAAGGCACTCGATGAAAATCAAACTTGGAGCATTGTTTCTCTACCAAAAGATCAACGTATGGTTGGGGCAAGATGTATTTACAAGACGAAATTTCACTTAGATGGAACCATACAGCGGCACAAGGCAATGTTAGTTGCAAGGGGCTTCACGCAAACCTTCGGGGTAGATTACAAAGAAACCTTTGCCCCGGTGGCAAAGATGAACATAGTTAGAGTGCTTCCTTCGGTGGCTATCAATTCACACTGGTCTCTACATCAAATGGATGTAAAAAACGCTTTCCTACATGGGGAGTTAGAGCCTACCACCTGGTCATGAACGAGAGAAGGAACAAGGAATAGTCTGCAAGCTTCACAAGGCTATTTACGGTCTCAAGCAATCTCCAAGAGCTTGGTACTCAAAACTGAGCTCTGTCCTTATGTCATCCGGTTTTAAACGAAGCAATGCAGATTCTTCAATGTTCACTAGGATTGGTACGCATGGAAGATTGGTGGTACTTGTTTATGTTGATGATCTTATTGTCACAGGAGATAATCCAGAAGAAATAAATGCTCTCAAAGCCACCTTACATTCAACCTTATCAATCAAAGATCTTGGCAGACTCCGATACTTTCTTGGAATCGAAATGGATCAATCTCCAATTGGTCTGTTTCTAAATCAACAAAAGTACGTTCTCAATCTTTTAGAAGAAGCCAATATGATGCATTGCAAGCCTGCCAAAACACCACTACCAACAAATTTCAAGGATGAAACCTCAGGCATCCAGCTTGAAAATGCATCGGAGTATCAAAGGTTGGTAGGAAAACTTATCTATTTGACTATAACTCGACCTGACATTGCTTATGCTGTTAGCTTTGTCAGCCAGTTCATGCATTCTCCCTCATCTTATCATCTGCAACTAGTTAAAAGGATCATTCGGTACTTGAAAAGCTTAATGACTACCGGGATTTTCATGCAAAACAACGGACACTTCACCATTGAAGGATACACATACTCTGATTGGGCAGGCAAAGTCCTTGATCGCAAGTCCACAACTGGTTACTGCACTTTTGTTGGTGGTAACCTCGTCACGTGGAAGAGCAAAAGCAATTCGTTGTAGCTCGGTCAAACGCAAAAGCTGAGTACCGTGCAATGGTATCTACTGCATGTGAACTAATTTGGCTAAAGAGTTTGCTACGTGATCTTGAAATCATCTCCTCAAAGCCAATTCTCCTTCATTGTGACAATTAAGCAGCGATGCATATTGCTGCCAACCCCGTCTTCCATGAACGCACAAAGCATATCGAGGTTGACTGTCATTTCGTCCGCAACCAAGTCCAGTCCAAGCTGTTACAAACTTTATTTGTTCGCTCCAGTGATCAACTTGTCGATGTGTTCACCAAGCCTCTTCCTTCTGCACAACTTGATTGTCTTCTCTTCAAGCTTGGATCCAGAAAATCTCTCGATCCAGCTTGAGGGGGAGTATTGAAGTATTAGTCTTTAACCCTAGTATCAGTCTTTAACCCTAATACAAGATATTAAGCACTGGATTAAGGTTGCCATTGGAAGAAGGGTTAAATGTTGGAAGAATAATGCAAGCTTTTATCTAGCTTTGATGGATAACAGCTCATACTTCTTACACACCTTTTTAATTTTTGACCATCGGATCAGATGAATTGAAGAAGATCAACGGATAGAAATTATCAATGGGTGTATGAGAAGTAAAATAAGATGTGTGGATAGCACACCCCATTAAATAAAGAAATAAATAAACCATTCACATATGAACAAAGGAAGAGTCTTTGTGTTTACCAATTTTTTTTTTAGAAAACCTCGACAATACGAGGAGAATTTTATTCATATAAAAAAAAGTACATCTAATTAGGAGGACATAAACCTAACTTCTCATAATACAAGAAAAAAGGATAAAAAAAATACATGAAAAGAAGGGGACATAAACTTTACCTTTCTAGAAACAAAAACAACAAAACAACAAAGATACAAGGAAAATAGGGGGACATGAAACATAACCCCTTTAAAGCTGAACCTACAGGTCTAAACCTGCAAAACGGAACAAGGAACATCGCAAGGTTAATAAAAAAAATCAAGAAAGTGAGACAAATCTATATGCAGAGATGCACATTAATTTGAAAACCGAAAATAAAAAAAGCCAATATAGTCTGAAAATAAAGCGGTACGAATCTTCATTAAAGGAGACAAGCCCATATTAACAAAATTGTACGCAAAAAAAGTGCCTTTGTCTTTTAAATTTATACGTGACATAATACGCTTATAGATGTCATTGGACTTTTTCTAAGGGGTACCTCTCAGCTTTTTGTCATTATATGTGGAATTTATGTTTTGGCACCTATTGGAAGTAAATAATCAAACCTTTGCAGGGAAATTAGGCCAAATGACTGATTCATGCGCCTAGCCGCCTAGCCGTTATTATATGTGGAATTTATGCACTTACATGCTAGACATTAGTCGGGTTGAAATTTTCTTTATTTGATTTGTAAATTTAGTTTACATTTTTTTTTTCCTTAACATTATCTTAAAACTTAATTTATCATGGAATTGCCATCAACGACGTAATTAAGGTGGAATTAGTGACTAATGAGGTTGAGGTGTTTTGGGGGGGGGGGGGTATGAGCAGATTGGTGGGTTTATATACTGCATTTTGGTCACATGTTATGAAGCAAATCGGCCGGAATTGCCTTCTTTTCTCACTAGAGTTGGGTATAAAGTGAAAAAAAAAGGATGTAGAGATTTTGAGTCGTTCTAAATTTACATTTTTGTTGATGGAAAACGCAAGATTTCTCAAATATTTTATGATGTCTTTTGATTTTCTTCTCGTGCCAATGTCATTTTTCAACCATTTAGGATGGGAAAACTAGGAGGGGGAATGGTCAGCAAAATGTTGACGAGTGGGCTTGTGGTTAGAATCTTGGCAAAACTCCACATAGAGGTAGAAAAACGTGTTTATGGGTATGATTAGGGAGGGATTACGGTCTCTAGAAACAACTAGACGTGGGTTGGTGCGTGGGCGACCGCCATTAACCTAAAGAATTCAACGGAAAAGTAACTTATAAAATATTTGTAACTCAGCTGTTTAAGTACATTTCTCTCTTCGCCCACAAAGATAAAGTTGGTGACCCAATTAGAAGGGATATTTGGGTCCAAATTATTATCAGGCCCAATATTAATAACGATATACTGAAGACCAAAGAGCTCACAGGACAATAAGATTTTATTTAATTTTTCTCACCCCCCCCCCCCTCTCCCTCCTCTCTCTCTCTCTCTGTGCAACAGAATTGTGTTGGTTGACTCAAAGGCAGACGACTGAATCCTTGAAAGTGAAAAGAGGTAAGTAGTCGTACTTCATTAGAAACTTTTACGACGTTTTATTTCGAATGCTCTAAATTTTTAATCTCTGGGAATATTCTTTCCACAATCAGCTAGTTTACCAAAGATTTTGATTTTTGGGTTTAGGGTTTTACACGATTTATGATTTCATGAGAACCCATTACCAAGAATTTGGATTCTGATTTGGTGACAAATGCTCATTCTCTAGGGTTTGGAATCGAAGTGATGCAAAATTTGGAGGTTCTGTAATTCAAGAGATCAAAATTTAGAGGTGAAAATGGTTTATACTCCAAAAGAGCCTTTGTTTTGCCTAAAATGGCCATGGGACATGAACCCGAATCCAAAAAATAACACTCATAGCGTTTGCTCGTTTGAGGGTCCTTGGCTGTTCAAATCTGTGCAGACTATCGGGTCCCTTGCTTTCAATTTCGTCAGCTCAATTTCGTTGATCAACAACTTAAAGCCCTTCCAAATGGATGCAAGAACCGGCCAAGGTAAGACTTTGAAGTCGAAAACAGTCTTGAGTCCGGAAGAGCAGGGGGAGGCGGAGCATAGGGCGTTTGCCTCGGCATTGGCAAGTGCGAAAGAGGCTACAGTGGTTGAGTTTTATTCACCCAAATGCAGGCTGTGCAATTCTTTGCTTAATTTTGTTGTGGAGGTTGAGAGTAGGAACTCGGAGTGGCTTAACATTGTTATGGCAGATGCAGAGAACGAGAAATGGCTTCCCGAGGTACCTTTCATCGTCAGCATTTTCTATGTTTGAAGTGATTAGCTTGTTCGATAGCGTTGCACTTTTTATTTGTGATTTTTTGGGGATGAAGTTATTCGTTACGTTATGTGCTGATCATGGTGTCAAATATTATGGTTTGAACGGTAGAATATTGTATGATAATTTTTCTATCGCCGGAAATGCAGCTCCTCCATTACGACATCAGATATGTGCCTTGCTTTGTTATACTGGACAAGAAGGGGAGGGCACTGGCGAAGACCGGGATTCCGAGCAGTCGACTGCACGTAATAGCAGGCCTCTCTCATCTTCTCAAGATGAAGCGTGCTCACAAAAGTAATAGCTGATAGAAATATTGAATCTTCACTCATCGTTTCATTTGATGTAAACAAGTCTGTATAGGCAGATAGCAGATTATATTGTGCGTGCTTTGATTGCTCATGGTTAAGCAGGCGATGATGTAATTCATGTTTTTAGTGTAGAAACTGTGCTTCCCCAAACTTTTACGATGATTTCTGTTGAAATTTCCAAAATCGATTGAAAACCGTCTTTTATATATATATTTATAATTTTTTTAATCTCCCTTTCTTCATGTCTGTCCTAATTAACTAACTAAACCACCTTCGCGAACAAGGAAAAGTTTTAAGTTTCCTATTTCAAATGGGATAATTTTCTAGTCTATATATATACAATGCATGATGCTACATTCCTCACAATTCTTCTCCATAAACCGATCGATCTAAATACCAATTCTACCATTCTCCCCAAAGGCCATCACCCTCTCTTCTCAAAATCCGAATCCGATTCGCAGCCAATGAGTTCCTTCAGCGAAAACTGAGTCGCCGCCAAGGAAATTCTCCGTCAGGCAAGTGAGCTCCAGGATGCTAGTATGTTCGGACCTCCCAGGCAGAAAATCAGAGACTCCAGTGAGCAGTCCTCTGTCAAGTTGGCGCTTCGCTATGAAGAACCATCGAGAGTGCTAGAGATATTTACGAACGGATGGTACAATGCCATCCCGAAGAAGCCGGGAACTGGATTTGGTATGCTAACTTTGAGATGAAGAATGGCGACATTGCGAGGGCGAGGAATGTGTTTGAGAGGGCAGTGAAGAAGGTACCCCTAGCCGATGATGACGGGGCCGAGCAGTTGTTTGAAGCTTTTGCGGAATTCGAACAGTGGTGCAAAGACATCGAGCTGTGCAAGCTAGATGTTGAGGATGCAAGCCAGATTTCTAATTCCTCGTAGCAAATTAAATTTGTTTTAATATGTGATGTTTTACTCCAAAAAATTAAATAAACTAAAATCCTTAACTGCAATCAGTCTGTTCTGCCTAGAAAAGCCTTCCCCAGCCTCGAAGCAACATTTTCGGAGCTCGGGAGAGTCCTTAGGTTTCCAGCATCCGACATGTAAAAGTAATTGTAATTGATCCTAGTAACCAAATCTGCTAAATGAGGAAAATGCCCGACGTTGAGCTTGAACGAAAGCACCTGCATAATCAGCACGCAACCATACGAAACGTTAGATGTAAATCATAAGAATCGCATATGAATCAGAACCAAAACAAAGAGAGAAGATTACTCTGAGCAGGAAAGCAATGCAATCATCAAACTGCTTCTCAATACGATCAACTTCCATTTCGCATTTGGCCTTAATTGCAGAAACTGTTCCGCCGCTAAGCGTCAGTTGTATAGAATAGAAGTCCAATGCTAATCCCAAGATGTTGTTTATCCTGCTTGCTATGAGAGCCCACTGATGCAAAAGAGCGTAATAAACACGATTTAGCTTCCTGTCTTCATAAAAGATTATTTCCTAGTTCATAAGTTCTCAAACAAAAGAAAATGCGCACCAGCTTATCTGGAACTACAAAGCACTGCCGCTGAATTGTCAACAAGTACAATTCATGTACTTCTATGACTTCGTCCAGAGATCGAGCAGCTGCCATACCTTCACATAGTTCACGCCATGCATTGTGATATACCTGCTCACAAAGGACTAGTCAGTGATCTAACAATTCCATACTCCATACTCTTTCCAGACAACAAAAATATGATGATGCATAAAAGGCCGAATTCCTCATGAAAATAGTTTCCGTACATATAAAGGGAAAACAAAAAACATAGGAAAAACAATACTTACTCTGTCCATCACATACTGGTGAAAAGCATCGACAAAATGGAGAAGTTTTTGCTCCACTAACCAGTGACGCTTGTGGTTGTTTGCGGCACTGCCTCTACCCTGCATGGGGAAACAAGAAGCATCAAAGCCATTGATTTATAGACATAAACACATACAGCCCTTCTCACTAGGCCAAGGAGATTTATCACTCTCCTAATTAATCCTTAAAGGGGATAAATTATAACCTTCCACATCCACCTTCGAGCTTTATCAAGTACGAATTTTGCTCGCTTAACCTTCAACAAGAACCCCATGACCTACAACAATTTAGAACAATTAGATAACAAGTTTAGTCGTCAGAACGACCAGTTGGTAATCACATCTTCCCTCCAAAGATAAGATCCCAAGTGAAATCAAATCACCTCTCCCCCAAATGCCACATCGATTTGAGAGAGAGAGAGACGACGAAATATAGAACCAAAAGCATAAAATAACCTGGTTATATTTCTTGATTGCCTCCACGTTTGCAATAAGTTCAAGTGGCCAAGAGACCTTATATGTGAAGTTTAGCAGATCAAGTCCATCCATTCCAAAGCTCTGAGCACGACTTTTACGAGGAGTTGAGGGAAGGGAAGCCATCTTAGGTTGCTCATTTCCATTTAAGTCGTGATTTTTGGTGAGGGATACAATCAATGAATCAGGAAAACTTAGTAGCACTCCATCAGCAGAGTTTCTTATAGATTCCTGCAGTAATAAGAATATACATTACAATGTTATAATATAAGTAAAACAGTAAAAGTAGGTACCCCAAAACCGTGTTTAACTCAAAATAGGAAGAAATTCTACATTGGATAAAGTAAGCAAACCTGCAATATCGTGTTTAACTCAAAATCATCATCCCATGTTTCTCCTTTATCCAGCTTATTGAATATTACAGTCAAGAAGTGCTGTAGCAGATCACCTAGAGATGGAAAGGAACCAGCAAACATGTCAAAGTAATCGGAGATGTCTAATGATAGACCAGGATATTTGAAGTTCAACAAACAAGATGATACCTGACCCTAGCAAGTAAATCGCGCGCAAGACTGCCAGTTCATCCATCAATTTCCAGTCATTCATCAGTTTTGACAAAATATGCCTGCCAATACAATCCACCTACGGTAGAAAATAACTTTTAAAAATATGACACTCATGCAACCACAACAACAAACTGATACATATTTTTGAGCAATCACCTGCTTCTGCATGTAGACAGTAAGACATTCCTGCACTATCACCACCGGAAGTGGAGTACTTCTTGGTTCAAAATGTTGAATCCAGGCAAGAACTCTTGATGGAAGGGTGCTATTTTTTTGGAAAGGTAAGAGCTCTGACATACAGAGCTCATCCTGTAGCCAAGGAATTACAATTAAAAATACATCCAAAGAATTCTAATAATATCTACATGACAAATGCACATAGACTTTCAATCATACCTGAACAGATGGTAGAAGAGTAGGAAAAGGAAACAACGATTGTAACATATGCGAGTCGTCTTGTGAACGAAGATATTCTGATTCACCAAAGCGGAAACCAAAAGTATAATTTGTTCCTTCAGCCAAAGAAGTTGATCCACTCTCCACACCGAAAATAGCCTTTCGTAAAGCTTCATCGTTTAAAGGGGGCAGACATAAATTTCTGGATAAGTTCAAGGATTTCCATGCATCCCCATTCTTAGAAAGGATCTTTTGGCAGACCGTTAGAACTGGATTTTCTTGACAGAAGGATCTTGAATGAGGAAACCCATTTACTACACCTGCAAACATTTTCTCTTCATTTGCATCTGTAAATCTTTTTCCATTATCACATGCAGACTCTGGTTCAGTTACTCTTTTCTCTGCCAGTGTATCAACCAAGAACTTACACCAAATTTTCTCCGAACATTTTACCGGCACAATCACACTATCATCACTCTCCACTTTTTGTTTAGTGGATATATGTTGAAAGATATGGTCACCATGGCCTATAAGGCCTGCTAACGACACACAGAAAACTTCTGACAAAGTCAAACCTGCAATGCTTTGCCCATGGTAAACACCTTTATTAAAACTTCCAAAACCATCAACCTCAGAGTCATTTCCGTTTCGATATACAACTGAGGATGTCATGGGAATATGCCGGATCAGCTGTAACGATTTTCCAGCAGAAACAATAGACTTAGCTATGTCCTTAATAAACAATGGACATGATTGAAGGTCTTTATTGCCACATTCCTTTCCTTTCATAAAACTTGTCATTGAGGCAGAGGTCCCAACATCTAACATTTGATACTGTACTTGCCTTAATAGATAACTCTTCTCCCAAAAGTCAGCCTCGTCAACAGATATTGCTTTATTAGCATAAAAGAACATCTGCAAAGACAGGAGCAACCAGAAAAATGTTCAGCGAGGAGAAATCTAGGACAGCCCACTTCAAGTAGAAAACAGATTAATATTGAGTATTTACTGCCTATACAAATTGTAAGATAAACTATCATCGACAATACTATGGACAGAAGAATCACATGGTACGCAAAATTTAAACAAAAAAAAAAACAATTAATTGGATGCATCACAAGCACATGCAAGTTCGAATCACATTTACCTCCTCATATGGATCATCTAGTGTTCCTTCAAAAAGCCAAGAATCAAGACCCTCAATATACGGCAATATACTTCCAATAAATAAATAAAGAAGCATCAGGTAATCTTCCTCCTGAAATTGGCATGAACACCAAATTTGGATTACATAAACCAGGTGAAACAAGACAAGAGTAATAAACTAGAAACAATAAAGGTTGTTGAATAAATGAAGTACCAACCTCACCACCTCGCACTAGACACACTTCATCCAGCTTCTTGTAAAGATGGTCAAGGATGTGAACAGCCAAGTAAGCAGCGGGAAGAGAAGAATTAGACTCAAAATACACCTGTGGGAGGGCACCATGCACTATTTGCAACAGATACTCAGCACCTGAGCAGAGACTAATATCAATAAATTGTCATCAGCGACATCATTGCATGAAGATATCAACACAAAACGTGAGTTAAGCAGTTAACGACATGGGCTGAGGCAATGACCTCGAAGGTAAAAAAATTGAGCATAATAAAATTTTCTAATTTTGATGAGCTTTTGAGTGGTGATAGTCTCCAACAAAATGTGACAAACTATAACTATTGGCATCCCACACTGATAGCTAACAGAATACAAACCTAGACAAAGAATTGGCCAATCCCAATAACGTAGGGGTTGTACTAATGCCATCTCCTCTTATCTTCATTTCCTTCTTTAAAGCAATATCGCGCAACCTCTGCCCAATCACAAAGTTAACATAGACTTATAAACGAGTAGTAAAATCACAATGTCTAGAAAGTGGCAAACTTCATCCAACAAATTGAATCCCAAATATACCTTAAGCCACGCAGAAACAGAACATGCAAAAGCC